ACAACCAGTTTTATTCCTCCATCGCCCTCCGTCGCCTGTTTTTCTCACTTGAAAGCCAATGTTGACCACCTTAAGGCCACTTTTTCCAACCCTAAACAACATATTTGTGTTGTACACACTTGGGAAGCCACCAATATCGCATGGCCGGCCAGTAATTGTGTGTGACCCTTTTGAACCCCTCCTAAAAGTGGCCTTTTCTCTCTCCTGGTTTACTTTCTCCAGTTTTTGACCACATGGTTGTGTTGTGTACACATGGGAGGCCACCAATCTGGGGTGGCCGGCCACTAATGCTTCTTGAGCCTTTTGACCCTTGGCCGGCCGGCCATAGGAAGGGCCGACCGGCCACCTGCAACTTAGATACCCGGCCGGCCATGATCCCCTTCTCTGGTACATTACAAATATGTATTCTGTTTCCCCCTAGATTGTGTATCCAGGGGGCTGCACTTTTGGGGGGAAATTTGAATCCATTTCCCTCCCTTTTTTCCCACACTTTTGCCTATATATCCAGGCCCCCCAGCTGTGTTTTAGGGGTTACAAAAAATTGGTTCAAGACCCTTGCACTCAATCTCTCTCTCCCTCTATTCCAACCCTCAAAACCTCCTTAATCCTACACCATCTACCCTACACCTCATAGCACAAAGCCTCCATCTTCCATTCTAACAATTTGAGGCTGTTTTCCAGAGGTTGAGAGCCACCAAACTTGGTCCAAGAGTTGTTGAAGACATAGGCTACAGGGGTAAGTCTCTTTCTCCCTCTTTCTTGCCTATTTTTGCTCAATATATTAGCTCCTCTTGCTCGCATATTTGGGCTCCAACCCTAACTGAAAATAGCATTATTTTGAGCTTCTTTTCATGTTTGTTTAAGGGCCTCTCCCTGTTTGAGGCTTCCTTTTTACACTTGCTTCTTTACCTCTCCTGTATGCCTCTTTCTTGCATAGTATTTTAGGCCTATTTTTAAACTGTTTTGAGCTTGGTTATAAACTGTAAAGTGACTTATTTTGAGCCCTTATTCAACATTGTTGAAGGGCTCTTCACTGTTTGAGGCTTCCTTTTGTCACTTGCCTCTTTATCCCTCTTTTGGCCTTATTTTTGCATGTTTTGTTAGCCCCTTGTGCTTGTATTTTTGGGCCCTAGTTTGAATTGTAAAGTGGCTTATTTTGAGCCCTTCTTCAACATTGTTGAAGGGATATTCACTGTTTGAAGCTTTCTTTTGTCACTTGCCTCTTTATCCCTCTTTTGGCCTTATTTTTGCATGTTTTGTTAGCCCCTTGTGCTTGTATTTTTGGGCTCTGGTCCAAACTGTAAATAGCCTTATTTTGACCCCCTATTCATGATTGATCAAGGGACCTTTGCTGTTTGAAGCTCCCTTTTTACTCTTTGTGTTTAAACCTCTTTTTAGGCCTCATCTTGCATAGTATTTTAAGCTTTCATGTGCACTGTTTTGGGTTTGGTCACTAACTGTAAAACACCATGTTTTGGGCCCCTCTTCAACTTTGTTGAAGGGCCCTCCTCTGTTTGAGGCCAGCAACCATCACTTGCTTCTTTGTCTCCCTTTTGGCCCATTTCTTGCACAATAGTTTAGCCATACTTGTGTTTGTTTTCGTGGCTTGTTGTAAACTATAAAGTGCTTCATTTTGAGCCCCTCTTCAACTTTGTTGAAGGGCTTTTGGCCATTTAGGGCCAGAAGCTGCTACTTGCTTTATTATCTCTCTTTTGGGGCCATTTTTGCATGTTAACTTAGCCCTATTTGTGTTCACTTTTTGGCCTTGTTTAAAACTGTAAATATGCTTGTTTTGGGACTGTCTTGATTCTGTCTTCACAATTCGTGTTCAAATAATGCATGCTTTGCATAGCCATAGGTCATTCCATGTACCTAATTTCATGTTTCGGGTCTCATTCCATGCATCGGGTACCATGTTTCCATGTTTTGGGGCTGTTTTGCATCATATTTTGCTACTGAAATTTGCATGCTAGTATTCCATATTCCATGCCTTGCCATGTCCTGTTAGAGTGGCATTTGTGTCTTAGGATCGGTCCTCGATTTGCGTGCATGTGTACACGCATTTCGAGTATCTCATTTTCATCTCATGGCTACTAATGTGAGTGTGGCTGAGGTCCACTCATGTTGGTGTAAGTCCATCGTGCATTGTGTATGCCATTTCATTTCATAGCATTGTGTATGCTAGGTTGCATGTTAGCGCATTGTGTATGCCATGTTACCTCGTGCATCGTGTATGCCATTCCATAGCATTGTGCATGCTAGGTTGTATATTAGTTTCATTCATGCATGTCATGCATATTGCATTGTGCTTGGGATAGGAGTTAGCCCGAACACGAAAAACGAGGGACGTTTCGTACTTCGAGTGACGGAACGTGTCTCAATTCCCAGTCACCGACACTTCGGATTATCCATGATAGAGTTTAGGTCTTGTTGTGTTTATATGTGCATTCATTTCATATTGAGTCGTGCAATTCGACTCCTCGACCATCATGCATCGATATGCGTGATTGGTGGCACGAGGATCGAGGACTACACTCCCTGAAGAGTAGTCAAGCATACATATGTGAAAATACTTTGCCATGCCCCTTTGTTGCTCTCTGTTGCAGCAAATCAGAAATCAGCAACCTTTCAGAGCCTGGCACGCATTCCAAGAACAATTGCAAACAGAGACAAATCGGGGCATCGCGAGGGATTCTCCGCACAAGGCAACCCGAGCATGCATCATTCATCATCCGGAGCAGATTTGAGGCAGTCCCTGGCTTGCATGCCTCCTAGTTTAATTTGTTAATTAATTAGGGTTTTGTAATTATTTGGACTGTAATTATTCATTCGGGACTATATATTATTTTATTTGGACCCTCTGCGCGAGGGCAATGTTGTAATAAGTGTACGTGTGTGTGATGTATGTCTTCCAACCCCACGTCTTTCTCCCTTTTATTTACCATCAAGTGTAGGTTAGATTATTTTTATTCCCCAAACTTGCATTGGTTTTCTACCTATTTTGTTTACTGTTTTAGCTCTTGTGTATAACATGAAAAAGGCTTAAATTTTCCTGCTCTAGCACTTTCATTAAGGTCACT